GAGAAAGAGACACGTCTCAAGACGCCCCAACCCATTCTTCTGACGAAACTCAGAAAGGAAAGTCCCCAATTATAAGGGCGTCCCCAATTATAGGGGACAAGGACAAATCTCAGAAGGAACCTATTATGGAACCAGAAGAGGAGGCAAGCTCAAGTGGCAACCCCGAATCTACGTCCGAGACTACTAAGCCAACGCGCATAAGTAAGTTAATTACTGCAAACGCTGATCTTAAGAATCAGTTAGCTACCATTTTGAAAGACTTGACTGTTGAACATGTAGATTAATTATATAGATCAGAAAAACATACACAGCACTTACGCGAACATGTTTCCCCGGGCATTACTGAAGCCCTACAGAAGTGGACAGAACGTCGACAGGCAATTACGCCCGAAGAACGTAAAGACTCAAGCGCTACGCCTGAGGCATATGATCCAGATGTACTCAGCGTCTCTATACCTTACGAGGCACTACCGCCAGAAGTTCAAGCTAATTACTCGCCTGTTCTGACACCCGACCGTGAGTCACCCGTCCTCGAAGGTATTATAGACCCAGAGGCAGGTAGAAATACTCCGCCACTTTTACCCAATTGGGATGACAATCGTCGGAAACCAGTTAAGACTGGGTATGAAATCCAGACGCATGAATCACCCAAAATTATAATACCAACCAATATCCGTGGAACAGAGCACCGAAAGGCCTCTACCATGGACTTTACAAGGGGTAATAAACACCCCCGTAGACGTGTTAACGAAGTCGAATTTAATCGCTTCGATCGCACAGCACTACATCAACCCGCAGAGGATTTTCACTCTGACGAGGTGACCGAACTTACCAAATCAGTCGACGATTATACCATTAAAATGGAAATCGCCCACGATGCGCATCATGCTGATGATGTAGCATACTTCTGTGAATATGATTTCGATAAAGCAAAAGCGCATTGATCAGTTACTTCAGGACCAACGTGGACAAGACCACAGGGACAACCAGAAGTACAAGGGACAGATCAGTCGACTTAAGTCGAACTGGGATGCCAACAGCAAGCAGGTCGAGTTTATAAACAACCATGACCTCGACACGCTAACCCATACGCTTTATGCGTTTACGGTCATGCTGGAGACGAATGATATCGCTCCCCAGCAATGGATCTCTGTTTTAATGCAGATGTTTGACCCTACAGGTACAAGTTATTTGATCCTGCAGCGACACCAGCATGAGCTAGACACTTGTCATGACTGGCCAGCTGTATGTTGGTTGGTTACATCCTTGTTAAGTAAGGACATGTGTAGCCCTGGGCTGAGTTCAATTTTAACTGAACCAGCTGAGAACACGCCCATTCAGAGTTATATTCTGAAGCTAGATGCTGACCTGAAACCTCCAGATATAACAAAGGACACGATACAGCGATGGTACGAGTTCCTGGTTATGCACGTTTTCTGTAAGAACATAGGGAATAACGACCGTGAGAGCCTGTACACCGAGTTGCGACGTAAACACGCGACTGAGGCTCGAGACAAGGGACATGAAACAAAGTTTTATCTATCCCGACTTACGTGGGAACAGTTTTATGATACTGTATCCACCCTTTTCCCCGCACATCGAGTAACATCGAAGGGAAGAGCGGCTGTTAAGAAGCCGCGGGAGCACACCGATCACGGGTACGTATCCAGGCAGACCTCAAACGAGAGACCCCAACATACACGTACTCGCGACTCCACTCTATCCACGCGACCCAATAAACGGGCACGCGCAGAAGCGAAGGACATGGAACCTCCATTTAAGGAGATTAAGAAATATGCCGACGCCCAGTGTGGATATGACATGTACCAGTTAACCCCTAACGGTTATTGGAATGGTAGACATGCATCCACCTGTACACACTTTCTTACTAAGTGTGACAAGTGTGAGAAGACCAATGGCTATCACACTAAGTCTTGTGACCGAAAGCCCAACATTAAGTTGGAGTGACGGTACTACCAGGTACAATCATTACACAGACAATACAACGACTCTTTAGATGAGCGTGTAATAATCCCTGTATATTGTAATGGAAATGAAATCCTTGCGTTGATTGATCCTGGTTCAGAAATTTCATGTATATCCGATCGCTTTGCATTAATGAAAGATATCGAAAGGAGAACACAAACAACTCATCTCATTTTAGCTGATGATAAAACTGCTACGTGTGATATCATCGACACAGATGTTAAAATCTCCCTGGCCGATGATAGGAGTATCACTACTCAAGCTGTGATAGTTAAGATGTCACAGAAGTACGGCATTATAGTCGGAATGAGTGATTTACTTACTTTAGGTATAACTGTAACTGGTCTACCAACCAACATAGATCCATTAAAGGATCAATC